ATGGATGCATGGTATTGCTTTTCTGAAATTCATTTGTTAACTTTGAAGGTATCTGCAAACTGAACTTCTTTTGTTTCTGTTCTGTTTTGTTTTGTTTGTACCTTTTTGTGTCTGTCAACACCCCCCCCCATTTTCTTACCAAAATATTCCTGTAGCAGGGCTGTTCAAATTTTTATGTACTATTCAATTAGCTTATCTTTTTTCCCAAGCAGTTGTAGCTACTAACTGAGCCATATATGTGTCTTTCAACAGGAGTGTAAAAGCTACAAGCAAAAAGTGTGTTTTGGATCATATACTTCTGATGTGGTGTTGTTGTTGGGAGTTGATTTAGAAGGTTGGATGGTGCCCCCTTAGCTTTAATAGGACAGGGGCCTAATTTGACAGGATGCAGGTGTTGGTCTGGACAGCCGCTGTATGTGTAGACAGCCGCTGTACTGGACATTGGTCCAGTGGTCTGGGTTTGGGTGACTTTAATCTGTAGTGTGAACCTGACTGTGAGGTCAAATGTGTAGTGTGTTGAGATTGGATTGCTTTTGTCAGGAGAAACTTGGGAAGTCACAGTGCTGTTCAGGAGGTTTCTGGGTTTGACTTTACACCAGCAGTGGCCGAGGGACAAATGAGAGAGAGGTGGTCATCAAAGCAAACGTTAATTCCTTGGAAATTTGGAGGCTTGTTGCATCCCTCTTTTTCCCTCCAGACTCCACCCCCGACCTCTGCTGTTTCTTGCATCCCATCCAAAATTCATAGTTCCCTTTCTCATAATGAGCTGTGTCTCACTGCAAGAGCAACCAACGCTAGCACCATCTTTGCTGTTATCAGGACTTCCTTTGTTGTCATTGTCATTACCAATGTGGTCTCCACCAGCATGGTCACTGTAACTGTCATGCACGATTTCTGTCACCGTCGTCGGCATGCCCTCTGTTGCATCACTGCATTGTCACCGTCTCATTAGTCATGTTCTCATTCATCACTGTCTTCATAATTATCACCTTTCCCCTCGACCCCTTCATCACCATCCTTTGCAGTCTTGTGCACCGTCTGAAGTGACTGAACTAGAACTTCTCTCCTACTTGAGACTGCACATGTAATGCAAACCCCCAGTGAATGTTACCCAATCCGGGTTCGCAGCATTCCTCAACTCCCCTAAGACTTCCCGACAACTGCAGTCACCAGCTTAATAGATTATTATACTAGAAAGGGAAAAACTCCCGCCGATTTGAAAAGAAACAAAGAAACTTAGCTGAAAATGCAGGAATAGGCAAGGTTGCGATCCCAACTGTAATGAGATTACTGGTGGAATGCCCCAGGCAGAGTCTGGCTGGATACCAGACTGCCTGTCTAACGCCCTCTTGGATCCATTTCTCCTCACTGATGTGACTGGTGGTCAAGGAATATTTCTTATGTTCTCAGGATACAGGTTTCCTTGTATCATCGTTTTTGGCAATTCCTGTTTTCTTTTTTATCTACCAGTTTGTAAGTTACTGATAGGAGGAAATTATAAGATAACAGAGTGAGGAAATCTTGTCATTTCTATCTGTACACAACAAATTTCTGATCTTGCATTTGTCAAATTCCTCAAATCCCATCTTTTATCATTCTCAAAGGTTATCCATTCAGCAAATTCCACCCAGTAAAGCTGGAGAAGTAGATGCACAGTGATAGTTGATGATATTTAAAACCCTGGGGAGGTTTTCTTCCTACATGGATGGACAACCAGGATGATGCTTGGATATTACCAAAAATGCATATGAAATTATTGGTAGGCCCCTTGTCGCGAAGGATTTACTGCTGTAGTTGATATGGCGCCCTCTAATGTTGAAAATGCAAGAACTAATTTTCATTGAGGACTCTTCATCTGCGCCCAGGGGCATTCTATCAGGGGGAACATTGACCTAAGACGCTTTCTCTTCACCAGGATTTTGTGCATTTTCAAATGAAAACGTCCTTTCTGTGCAGAAGGCTTAAAGCATGCTTATCATTCATACACACCGTCAGGGTCCTGGTAGGAACTGGCTGGTGCAATAGACCGTATTCATAGGGGACCCAATTTCAATCAGATTTCCCAACGCACCGGTTAAAGCGTGTTTATTTGAAAAACCAGACTCTGTTCTAAGGTATCATTCCGACCCCCAAAATCACCTGGTACCATCCCATTAAGGGTTTCAAATGTATACAATACGTTCTGGAAATTGCCTGAAATTGGGTCTCCCACAACTACGGCCTATTAGGCTTGATCATTGTACATGTGTAGGTATTTGATGTTTGGCCAGATGGTTTACGACTTTCTAGTTGTATTATTGCTCCTAAGTATATGGCATTTGAAACAAATTAGGAGGGTTCCCCTTTTCCAAAGGGAAACATGGGATTTCAGTTCATACTAAATACATCAGAAATCGATATCCTTCCTGTGCCATTTCTTGGGTGCTCGTCTTGAATGCCATCCGTGCCACTACCAGTGCGGGGTTCGCCCCTGCCCCCCTCACCTGCCGAAGCGAAAGGCTACCAATGCCCAGAATGCAGAAGGCATGGACTTAAGTCTGGCAAAGTACTTCATGCCACACACGCCCTGCACTGGTGGCAGAAATCTCCCAGCGCCCACCGGGGACCCTGAAACTTCATCTACCTGAAACACCATCTACCTGCTGGAAATGTCAAAATATGAACTGTCAGCCGGAATCACCGGGTGACAATTTCAAAGACACGTGCAACTGTACTGGAAACAAGGAAACACAGAGAAAAGGTTTTGCTGCACTGGCTTATGAGTGTCTGGTTGCAGTCTATTTTGAGAAGGAGAATACTCAGTGAGCCACCGGCGAAATGGCTTTAAAAAGAAAACTGAGCCAAACCATTGCCCCAAATCCTAGGATAATTTCCCAAATCCAATTGTCGGAATAACTTGCGGGTCACCGTTTTGTGAGACAGATGGTTAGAGGGCATGCGGTGAAGGTGTGTGTTGTTTCATGCATTATGAGGATATTGGCCACGATGGTGTAGGGCTGAATGTTTTGGTTGTGCTTTGGTGACGGCCTTGATTTTGAATCCATATTTATTCAGGTAAAGGTCAGAAAATTGTCCCCTTGACCCATTCCCCCGGTTCCTAATAAGATCAATGCTTATCAGTGGCTTTATGTAGAGAAACATTCTGTTGAACGAGCCAGTTCGGTATTTCATACAGGCAAAGTCTTTTGGGAACAAAGCACGGGCGTGAGTCAGCATATGACAGCAGTGATAGAACCAACTTTGCACAAATGTGTTGCTTAGACGCATTTCAGTTTGGGCATGCACTGTTAGAGTACGGAACTGGATCATTGTTTCATCCCTTCTTTCCAGGAACTGCTGCTTTTGAAGCAAAGCGCATGTCTACAGCGTTTACACATAGATGATCAAGCACTTTGCGTGTCAGGACTACACATGTTTTTAGGTATCAGAATTGCAGACCCCTTCATAATTGTCCTCAGAGCTGCTCTTAAGGTGCCTGTTGTGGAACTGATAACTTTTATTTGTCGTGCATGAGTGCACAGCCCAAGAATCAATCCCTGAATTTTTTGGGATCGCATCTCACTAAGTCCAGACTGTCATCATTTGGCAAGGAGAACCTATCCTCAGATCCTTGGTGCATAATGCCATCCCAAAGCTGGGAGCTTTGTAGTAAGCATCAGGTCAAGAAAAGATTCTAGAAGTTTTGGATGTGGGGGACCCTCACCCCCCACCCTGAGATCCAACAGCTGTCGTGTGTTGTGTGGCTGGGGGGGGGGCAGGAGAGCTGGATGGCATTGCCAACTGTCTCTAACCAGTGTGTTACACAGATGCACCATTGACTAATTCACCAGTTGGAGTTGGTTTGTTTTTCCAAATCCTCATTGATGTAACATATTAAATCAAGTTAGACCATTCTTTTTAAACAAAGATTTTCCCACACTATTTTTTTCAGGTGCCGTTTACTTCAGTTAGAACTCCTTCAATTGGGATAAAGTTAGCTTAACGTTCAAACGAAAAAGCCCACTGCCCGCTCAATGTCCCTTTGTGTTGTGATTTGTTTTTTGTCTTCCATAAAAATTGTGCATTGAAAAGTGACCTGTTTACATTCTGAAAAGGTAGTTAAGAGTATTGCAGTTTTATAGTTGCTTCAATTTTTACACAAGTTAATTTTCTCCAAAAGTAGTTTCTTAATTCATTTAGTTTCCACTTTAATTCACTGTTATTCAAATGGTACTTTGTTGTCTCCATCAACCATGTTACTAAACTTACAGGATTTTGTAAAGCTATTAAGAAGCAGTTTATTAAAAAAGATATTGATTGAGCATTTGGAATGGAGGGGGGTCGGATAAGAAGAAGGTAAACACAAGATAACATATCACAATAAGTGTGACTTCCTAAGGGGATCTTTGGGAGATTTCTCCGCTGGTGGGCCCAGCTTTCATCCTCTTTGGAAAGAGTTTGCAACAATTTAAGAATTGCTTTGCTCTACAATGGTGGCAATACCCCAGAATTTTTAAACTCCAACATGTCTCTTCTGCATTTATATTTCAGATCATGAGGACAGAAGGACTTGATACTAATCTCAGGCTAAATCTGAATCTGTTGTCTAGAGCTAGGTCTAGGTCTTCACTCCAGTGGAAAAACTGCTAAGACACACAGACAATAGACCTAGCCTTAGTTGCCATGGACATGTGTATTGCTTATTTTCTGCATTTGGTATTTTCTGTCAGGAAAATACATATTTTTCATCAGGTTTAGAAGGTGACTCAAGATCTGATCTCTCACATCCTGCATGTACAGTAACTTCCTTGAAACCACATATTCTGTTTTCACTTGATTTCATGCAGAGTCGGTACATGTACCTGTTGCCTTTTCCCGACACTGGAGTTGGGGTCGTATTGTGTAATGGACAAGTCTTGGCTCTCAGCACCAGGATTCACTGGGCGCCAGTTGCTCGATTATCGGACTGTCGAAAGGAAGTTTCATCTAGTCTATCAATTGTGTCATTTTTTCATTTGTAGGTTGGGGACAGCTTGCAGAGAAAGATCCGTCTTCGTCCCGAGAAGTCACACCTTGTCAATCAGCACATCTTGGCAGGTAGGCAGTTAGCATGGAGAGGACAAGACGGGCCAAAGGGAAAGCACTCTTTGTATGTTTGGAACTGGGCTGGTTCCGGTCAGCTCGGGAAGTGTTGCAAGAACTTTAAAAATGTGAATAATCTTGTGAAGTCAATTTCATGAGGAAGCAGCATATGGGATAGAACACACATTGCTGTAATCATTTAGCAAAATCAAATTGAGGGGTGGTTGTGTGTGTTTCTCATCTTTGAAAGATTTCATTGCAGTTTGCATTTAAAAATCATAGTTTATGGGCCTGTGAACTCCCAACTAAAATCCACAAAGGGATTTGCCTTTTCCCAGATTTTTGTTATCAAAAGTTATACATGCAGAAAAAAAAGGTCGTCTTTTTTTATAGTACTGACTCCACGCAGATGATCTTCGTTTTAAGGAGGGAGGAAAAAAAGGAGAAAATGTTGCCTGGAAATATCTTTAAGAATCTGCCAGTCATGCTACGTCAAGTCTACTGTGTGAATTGCTAGATCCTCTCTCCAAGGACAAGCAGGCTGGCTTCCACTTTGGGGCAAGCCTCGCGTCTCGTCTCAAACGTTTCATTGTTCTGATGGGCCAGCGTTTGCCCCAGCAGCTCATCCGAGACCAGATTCCTTCTGCGCTCTGTTTGCTGCAGAAGTGGGCAGATGGGAATCGCTCTCCCAGATGACTGTGCCAGATGACAAATCTTTTGACAGACACCTCTGTTGCTTCCATACCACTGTGTGATTCTTTACGTTCAATATATTACAGGGTTTTTATGCCGATCATATAGGGAGTCTCCTATTTCTGAAAATTGTGTTAGTCGTTTGTGTTCCTAAAGGTGAGCAGGGTTAAACAGACTCGCTAATTGAAATCACACGATCCTCCGTTACTCACACTTGAGATATATTCTCAGGATGGCAGCAATGCATGGCGTGTAAAATCTTTTTGTATTTCCACAGACGTTGCAGGGCCCTGCTCTGGGTTTATTTTCATCAGGTGTATTTTCACATACCATCAAAGACGTCAACCCCCACGTGCAAGTTACGGAATGCTTGTAGCATTTCCAGCCAGCACGTGTTGCTCATTTTGTACAACTAAGTTGACAATTTTTTTGTTTAAGCGTGCATTTAATCCCTTAATGATGTCCTCATCATAACCGGTTGACAATTCATGACAGGAATCCTGTTAATTATTTTAATCAAGTGCCTGCCAAATTACCAATTACTCACTGTGATACTTAGACCGGCTGTGCCAGTTGGTAATTAAAACTGTCCTCCCAAAGAGGAAGCGGCAGACAAAAAGGGGAAGAGTTTCAATTAAATCTTGGGAGATAGTGCCCCACCCCCCCACCCCATCGCAATCAGAACTGTCGTGGCATGTGTCAGGATTGTGGGGCACTGTAGGTGACCCTGATCCCATCGGTTGTGAAGCAAAGAATTCCAATAGGAGGTTATATTGTGGGCTTTCGTGGTTGCATTGGGTCACAGTCCAGAGTGTTAAATTGGTCAGATTCTTAAAACCGGCGCCAGAAATTTGTCCCAAAGTTGAAGAACCATGCATGTCTACATTTTTTTTATGTTTTTAAAATGTAAAAAAACTCTTTAGGAATTTAGTTTGTGTGTGTGTGTGTTACATATTGAAAGCAAACAGAAGATTTTATTCTCTTTCATGCACAAATCTAAACTTAAAGGTAGACTTGTGTTTGTAGCCTAATCATCCTCCAAGAGCTACCCATGTTGTCTTAACAGTCTTTACCCTGATGCATTCATCTTAAATGTGCTTTTCCAGACACCAATGTAGACCCGCTGGTGAACGCCACCCAGCAGCGGCTCAAACGGTCCCGTCTAGAGCAAGATCTGGATACCAAGATCAAGAACAGGCCAGGCCCACTGGAGCTGATCGAGGGCAACATCCTGAAGACGGACAACGCGCTGGTGGAGCAAGCTGTCAAAGGTGAGGCAGGCCAGGAGGGCATAGCAGGCAGAGAGGGAGGGAAGCTTGGGCACTAGAGGGCGCTCACCAGCCAGAGCAGTCAAGACAGGTTGATGAGTCTTAGCCCATCTATGTGGGTCTTTACTTGGCAGCAACTGTGAGCATCTCAGAAGATTCAAACAATCCAATAGGCGCAGGTTTTAAGACTAAAGGACACTCTTCAATCTTGGTCACAATGGACTAAGACAGTAGGTGCTTTGAATTTTTCACCAAAATCTTACAGCAACTCCACAGTAAGATTTTGGTATATCGGTAAATCCCTATTAGCAGTCATAATCTTCTGCTGACATCTCTAATGCCATATTTGGGTCATTTTCTTGACACAGATGGCAAAGTGAAGTTTTTGAAGACAAACAGCCTGGACAGTAATCCTTTTGAGTTTGAGGAAGACAGCCAAGAAGGCTTCAGTGATGAGGCTCTGTCGCCTTCACAGTCTGAAGTCAGTCAGGCCGAATCACAACTCAGCACTGGTAGCCTACCCTCTGCACACAGTTCCAGCGCCTTTGGAGACAACTCTAAGACTCTGCAGGCCCAACAGCAGCAACTGCAGCAGCAACAGCAGCACCAGGCAAGTGTCAGCAGTCCCTCCCAGCTGGTCTCACCCAAGGCAGGTCAGGCATTCATCACCATCAAGCAGGAGCCAGGATTGATCAGCCCTCCACCAGTCACCAGCAACAGCTTCACACCCATTTCAGCCGTGTCCAACATCAGCCTGGCCTCAGGTGGCAAGGTGACCCCTTCACCGAGGCAGCCCCGCAAAAAGCAGACTAAGAGGCCCAAGCCCAAGGAGATCAAGTTCCACGAGTACAAGCCGCCCAACGAGCAGTCCAGCAAGGTCCAGCAGGCCAGTACAGTCAATAATCCCTACAACCTATTGCTCATGCAGCAGCAGTTGTACCTGCAGCTGCAACTCCTCCAGCAGCAGCAGTTGATCCTACCCAACACAGCCAACCAAAAACACACCACCACCAGTGCCTCCTCCTCCAATACTCCAGTCACCTCCGCGCACACTTCTTCCAACTCCACAGTGACAACAACCGCTGCTCCAGCTGCTGCACCAGCGGCGCCCGCACAAGCTGCACCTGTGACTGTTAAACAGCAGCAGCCTGACACCAAGCCCAGCATTGCTGCTTCGCAGGGCAAACCTCGCAGCCTGTCCAACCTGGAGGACATGAAAGTATCTGAACTGAAATTAGAGTTAAAAAATCGTGGACTTCATGTGTCCGGAACCAAGCCACAGTTGGTGGAGCGCCTGCGGCCATATATGGAACAGCAGGTCACAACGTCAGCATCCTCCCCCAACGAGGTCAGCACCACATCTGTTACATCGAGTACTAGGGTCTCAAGTTCCACAGATCTAGATGTGCCCTTCAGCGAAACCACCAGCAGTGCACAGGGATCACTGAGCACGCCCCCAATATCACCAGAGTTCCGCTCTTCCTTATCCGTCACGTCAGAACCTATGTCACCAGGGAGCGCCTTCGATCCTATGTCGCCCCCTACATTCCAAGGTACACTGACGGCAGCAGTGTGCAGCCCCGACACAGTCAGCACCACCAATCAACAGACTATGAGTGGGTCTGGGCAGGAAGGTAGCCCATTTGACCCCACCATGCCGACGCTGGAGTCCCCCCAGCCGCTCCCACCGGCATCCAGCATCCTGCCTGTGGACATGTCTGGCAATGACAACAGTAACCAAGATATGATGGACCTCTCATCACTGGAAACCACCACCAGCAGTGGCGGCCAGATCAGCAGTGACATCCTGCGGCAGCAGCAGTTGAAAATCCAGGAGCTGGAGCGCATGCTGAAGCTCTCCCAGATGCAGCTCCAGATGCAGAAGCTGCAGCAGCCTAACCTGTCAACAGTTTCGACCCAGCAGCAGCAGTCTCCAGCTGGCAAACCAGGCACCCTATCTCCCCACCAGCTCCAGCAAGACAGCAAGCCCAGCGCCTTCATGTTTCACAGCAAGGATTTTGCCCACACGCTAAACCAGCAGCCCAAGGTGTTTTCCTTCGCTTCGCCGCCACCCAATGGCCAACCATTCCTCTTCAGTAAGCAGCAGAGCCCAGACAACCAGTCCATGTCCCTGCCCAATGGCATGGTCGTGCCCAAGGCCGCCTCGTTACCCAGTAGCCCCACAGAGCGGAACGTCCTGGGCATTGGATCAGGCATGACAAGGTCTATCACTCAGCCAACGTTTGCCAACCCTCCTCCCAACTATGAAGAAGCTGTCCGGCAGGTAAAAGAGAGGAAGGTATGCATTTCTTTGAGATGACCGTTTTTCTAAAAACCTTCCAGCTTGGTGCTCATAAGATAGGCCATTTAGTTTCACCACAGCATTAAACACACTGGTATCGATGTTAACCCTCTAATCGGGTTTTCATTTAATTCTGTCCTCATTTGTTGTCTTTGCACTTTATCTTCTGCAGAGCCAAGGCAACAGTCCAGTGTCAGGATCTCCCGTGGGATCACCACCCAAAGGGAACAGTGCCAACATCGACCCTAGGAGCACCAAGAGCCAGGACCTGGATGACTTGTTGGAAGTTCTTGTTGATCATGGATGTGAGTAGTGGCAAGAGATCAAATCCTGGGTTGTTGTTCATGTAGTTGGCTGGCTGGCTTGCAGGCTGGCCAGCCAGTCGTTTAGTCCGTCAGTCTGTTGGCCAGTGAGCTAGTTTGTTAGTCACATCGTGGTTCGTTTCACGTCTGATTGACTGGCTGGTTGGTTAAGTCACTTGGTCAGTCAGTCGGTTGGTTGGATTAGTAATCACTTGACATGTGTTTGTTGATCCATTTGGTGGTTGACTGATAGGTTGATTAATTGGTCAGTTGATCGATTGATAGGCCTAACCGACACTGATTTATATATTTATAGGGATTGGCTGGTACGTTTTATTTTCTCATCTTTCAAGGCAGATATTGATTAAAGTTTACTCATTAACTACTTGCTGCCGGGTGGTTTGAAAATTGCAGTGCACATAATCGGGACTTTTTCAAGATATTCAATTTTCAAAATTCTTCAAAAATTTATC